TGTAAACTGACATGTATCAAAAATAACATTTGCGTGATCTTGAGGTCCTGACTGTTCCAATAGTTTCCCCTCTCACAAGATTCAAGGACATCATATATTTTTCTCCAAATTTTCCAAAACTTTCCAGGACACTTGTTTTCCAGTAATTTTAGGATTTTTCAATGACCATGGGGGACCCTGATGTACATACAAAAAAATTAATGTATTCACTTGGCACTCATCACCATTTCAATATTGAGTTTTGCCTGCATAAAAATTATGAGCAAAGCACATGTTTAGTGCTGTTCAGTTGGCTTAGGTACATACCTGTGGAACTTGAACCCTTGACCCAACATTTTCCACACCAGACTTGTCAAAGAGTAACACAGGATCATTTCCATCTCTACAATGTACAGTTGGAATTCCTATGAGGCATTCATTTATTAACCTCCTTATCTCAGCAAGAGCAAGAAAGCAGTATTCAGTATGGACAACAATACTGAACTTGACAGTTAAGTTGATAAATTAGACTTCTATTCTTGGCTGTACAAGTGAGCGGACTACGGTAAGATGAAACAACTGTAACTGATGCCAACCTACATGTATGGTCACCGTCAAGCATACACTATGAACATCAAACAAAAGAAACACAGTACACCAACAATGAACATCTATTGTTATTGCACCATGCTTCTTTTGTTAGATGTTCATAGTGATATCCACTGCAATATCACTATCACATGAAAGCACAGCCTGTGTAGGGAGCAGCGGTCCCTCACGACCAGTGACTGAAAAATTGCATGTAATTTAAAGTACATGTACATCAAAGAGTTGGGAACAATTGTATTGAAACTGTTGATGCAGGTACATGTACATGTACTGTACTAAGTTAACTGGTGATCATTGATGGAATTTCATGCTACATTGTACATGTCATCACGTGTGTTGCGGTTTAGTATTTATGTGTATACGATTTGTTATAAGCCTCCTGAAAATTTTATTCAACTTATAGCCTGTGAGATGTTACAACTGGAAAAAATCTTGATTTTTCAAGTAAGTCAGACTATCTTACAGTTCACGCAGGAGTCACTTGAAAAATCTTTGGGCTGAGTCAATTCAAATAATTCGCTATCCGAATATTTGACCTTCAATTTGATCAAATATCCCAATATTCAGCTATACCGACAAAATCAGTTGCAATAACACACTATTTTACATTATGATCGATATAATAGCTTCTCACATACGTGTTTGACATGGAACACGTTCGGTATGCGTAACTAACTTACTGCATGGTCTTTGCGTACGCGCAGAACGCATGCAAGAACACGCTTGTAACCACCCGTCTTTCTTTCGCTGATTGGGGGTGCATTTCAGCTCGGAGCGGAGTCTGCCATTAATACTTATAGCAGCCCAAATCTTTCACAAGCCAATAACTCTTGCTCATGTAGCACAGATACAAAGGTTATGTTAAGGATTTACTGAAGATTGAATAAACGGTGCACTGCCTTGAACATGTCAGGAGGAGAGGCAATTTATGGATGACTGCATGAAATATCACTGACCATACATGTACATGTAAATAAAAATGCTTTGTTCCAAAAAAAATGTAAAGCTTCTCTGATAGGTGTCAATGTACATACCCGTATGTACTGTACCAGTACAAAGCATGAATGTCTCCAGGGTCATGCTAAGTTTAAACTAAATTTGTCATTTCCCTTCCAAAATCTGAAAACAGTCTGAGAGGGAAAAATAAAATGGCTCCTAGAGCGTTAAAGCGTCTCATAATTCAATCTGCACCCCTCTCATGCTTGTTCTCTTGCGACTAAGCACATCATGTTGATTTATCTAAATGTGCAAAGCAGTACCTTTACATGTACGTGCCCTTGCAAATGTAAGCAATATTAAGATTTACCTTGAACCTGGATGACATAGTCATTCATCCCAGCATACTGTACATTAAACCACAGACTGAAAGCCATCGGGTTCTCTGCAACTCAAGAGTGCAGGCAAGGACAGACACATCCAAGACAAAGTGATACACCATACTGTGCAATGTGCATAGGTGTACATGAAAAGGCACATGGCCAAATCAACACCCTGTTAGCCTCCTGACATACTGTATGGTTTCCAAATGTTGCCAGCAGCAGTCAATATTCCTGTGCAATGCTGTTACACATTAAATTATTCATTTCTTCAAATTCTTTAACAAATGTCTTTGATGTACATGTACATGCATGTTGTGCAACTCCCATTGGATAAGTTTCACAGCAATAGCATGAAAGAGCAACTTTTCATTTCTTTGGCAACAAGCTTCAAGTTGATGCAAATTTTATATATGTATGTACATGTATATATACTAGACATGCTGTGTAGAGAAGGCCAATTTACACAGATGACAGATACATGTACATGTAAAAGAGGACAACGTACAAAAGCAGCATGGAACTGATATTGTACATTTATACACAAGATGGAAACTCGATGGGTATGTAAATCACTGTCATTGGCTATCCACAGTAACATTGGCATTCAATCTGAAGGAATCAAAGGTACAACAAACATGCCCAGTTGCCAACTCTTACTCTGTCTTTCAAGCCAGTTGGTGATGTTCAGAGTGGTATTAAAGTGTTCAAGTTTATAAGTACAGTAATTTATCAGCCTTTTAATAAAATCTGATATTTGTTATTGATCATCTGTGTGAGTGGGCCAAAGGTTCCTGTTTTGCTTTAACCCTTTCATATCCTTGTTTTTAACTTCAGGAATCTCTGCAAGATGCATGGTTTTCCTGGACTACATTAACAACAGGCAGTGACATCAACTCAAGAATGGCATAATTTGACCTTCTGCTCTAATCTGAACATTGCCAGTGCCAAGACCTTGGATTGAGAAAAAAAAATCCGATGTTGAACACCAAATCTCATGCAATACCCTGGAAGGGGCAAATGATGCTTTCAATATGCAAGTACCTGCACAGTGCTTGCTTCACATATTGCATGCATTTTGAGTGCAGCAGGGTTATCTTGTGATCTGACCAGATACTAGACTGATAGAAGACAGTGGAGTTCCTGGACACAGTGGCACCAGGGGGTTTAAGGGCCAGCCTGCCAGGCTACAGATGCCCACTACAATCAATTATGGCCCTGACACTCCCTTCATGGGCACAGGTAAATCCACTCCACCTGTCTCATCCTGCCTAGCCAAGCAAAACAGCCACACAGCACATTGATTTCAGGTGTTTAGACTGCTGAGAAAGGTAGCCAACAGAAAACAAGATGTGATTAGCAATCAGAGCACACGCTTTGCTAAGAGAAAGTCTCTTGAGCATTACTCATCCAATGCAGCACGGACAAGTACTGCATTTCTGCAATTCAAATAAATTTTCCCTGAATGAGATGCAACTTTTGTTAAAATAAAATTTCTTTGAGCAAATTTACCGAACAATAAAATTCCACTTGTACACAACTGTACATATATGCAAATACGAGGTGCTTGTGACATACAACATGATCAAGGCTGTGTTCCATACTCAAATGTGTACATGTAGGCCTAATCAACACAACATTCAGCCAGAAAGACAGAATTTTTACACAGAACAATTTTTCTCAGCTTTAGCTTCCTCGAATCTTAACAGTACTTGACATCATTTCTAAGTCAAAGTATAAGAGATAACTTATCTCTTATTTCTTTTATAAATACTTATCTCAGATAAGTATTGATAAAAAAATTCAGAACTACTTGCACATACACTGTACAATTACTAACGGTGCGCAGTATTTTGCTTTCATATCAAAGCAATAACATACATGTACATGTATCACTGTAACCAAAAATCCTTTTACATGTACCAGTACCATTCTTGTCCATGTGGAAGTGAAAATTCAGATATTGATCAAATAGAAAATCATAATTTGAATAATGTACTTATTTTCAATTAATCAGCCTTCACGCATAAAAATACATGCATGTTCACATTCTCTGCAAAATTTGGGTAATTAGCTAAAATGGGACTGCAAGAAGATGTATGCAAATTACATGTACATGAACCAAGGGGTATTCAGTACAATTGAGTGGCAGTCAGAGTTTATGGTGTGGTTGTTGGATGACATCAGCTATCTGGGAATCAATGGGTGCTTTGTGCAGCATTCTCAAGGTTGAACAGTATGCTGTGTTCCTTTTTTCCCAGCTTTTCTCACTCTCTGATGGTGGACTAGCGTCCAAGTGCAACCATTCAGCAGCAAGACCACCACAGACTTTTCATTTTTACTACCTTTGAAACTGCTTAATTATTACAGGTGTAGGAATAGAGACTGGTGCACTTTCTGTACACATGAGCTGAGGAAGGATAAAAATATGCACAGTGCATGCCAACATGTACCATAATGTTTCCATATGATAAGAGAGGTACTAACACTGTACATTCATGTCACTGCCAGTCAGGAAGTTATGCTCTAAATAAATTGTCCAAAGACATGTTTCCATCATATAACAGTGTTTTGATTGATGGTTTATAGTTACACTTCACAAAAATGTTGACACAAATTACCCATGTTTTAAGGTTTTAATTCAAAGATCAGACAACGAATTCTACCACATTCAGCCAGGATGTTTTTGGTATGAAATGCATTTATATGTACGCATGTAAACTGAAAACCACAGCGATATCCCAGCATTAATACTAGCAATTTTCATAAATTCAAATTGGAAACAACTTTAAACAGAGCTGCTTCACAAGTGAAAAATCAAACAGAAAAATATGAATTTTTCCCAATTCTAAGTTCATCACCAGTAAGTCACTGTCTGACTTTCACCAGCTTTAATTCAATGTACACTTAGGATACCATGCACGGCCTGCTCCATGAATGATGCAATTCATTTGTCCTCTAAACAGTTTCACAACTCAATAACTCAGCTCAATGTTATGATTACTGTGAGATACCAACAGTTCAAACACTTCAGATTAATTAGTTTTACATTGTGCTCGGATATGTTATTTCAAGACAAACAGTACCAGTACTTACCAGAAGCAATCATTGAACAATTCCACAGCAAGAAGACAAGTCCAAACAGACTTAATCTGTTGGTCTTTGCAGTATTTGTATCCAATCCAGATTGCAAGCAAGCCTTCATAGTGCTGACTGTTAAAATGAGCGGATTTCTTTTCTCAGTGACTGTTGTCTCACTGTGAATGTGTGAAGTAGTAACAAAGCCGGCAGAAGCTGTTTGGCTAGTTTAAACTCACAGATCACTGCTGAGTCTACAACATTACAATTTGTGATTCTCCACAAGACAATGTGTACAAAATGCACATCCTGGCCAGGAAAATCTGGCTTCCACCACAAGTCTGCATTCAGAGGCAATGGTTTAGCTGTTGTTTTGTGCTGCTGGCTTGTCGCATCCACGCACCCCTCACACCAGTCTTTCAAACCTTGACACAAGAGTGTGTGTTGCCAGTAACACTGAGCGAGATGAAATGCCTACACATTATCAGCAGCATGCTGGATGTGGTGGAAACCGGCTGCCTGGCTCCCTGTAGAGCAGAGCAGGACTTTCCACAAAGCAATGGCAAAGCTGTAAGGTCAACTCATTTCTTTGCAGGGGGGACCCATAACTAATGCAATTACATTTTTCAAGACAAAATCCCCATACTCTCCATGCAATGTGGCCAGTTATCCGTAGAGTCTAGTGATGGTAATGACTGTAGTTCTAGGCTAAATGACTTCTGCAGTATTTCTACAGTATTTTCCCCCTCAATATTACAAGATATTTACATGCACTGATGCCTTACCTATGATATAATTCACATGGCTACAGTATTTAATAAACATCTTTCCCCCTAAAATTATTTCTTGAATGTCATTTTCACAGCACTGAAATGATACATGTACATTTAATTTCTTTAAGAGAAAAGTTACCGGTATCTTCAACTTAAAGCATACATGATAATGGTAAAATATTATTATAATCATTCCTTACTTGTAATATCGTCACTGCACATAAATGCTGAGTGTGCAGTAACCATCCTCTTGGACATACTGGGGTACATTCATCAAAACCCTTTAAAATGATAGTTTGTCCTGCATTAACTGTCAATTTAAAACCACAAATTCAAGACAAACATTTCTCAGATTGGCTACAAGTAAAATATTATTTACATGTACACTCATCTTTGTTGATACAACATACTTGTAAGGCCATACTAAATCCAAAACCTTTTCTGATTTTATCCCATTTACAGTGAGTGTATGCATGAGTGAGTGCCAAATACAAACACCTACATGTACATGAACTTCACAATAGTGGCGCCACATTACTTTTTGTTAGTCTCCAAATCATATACAAATCCATGTAAACATACATAAAGGACTCCTGACACTAAGGTAAAGGCTGCACTAGTGTAGTGAACAATGACAGTGAGAGATTACAGTGATGGGTACTGAGCATTTAACCACCATTGTGTACATGCACATTTTTACTAAAACCATGCTCTATGCCAAATGATGTGATAGGAGCACACAACCCAAACAGACTCTATCAAGTAAGCAAAGCGATGTGTTTTATGGGTGTCATTCCACTTGGTTTGACATGAACTCTGGGATCCCATGCCACAAGGCTCAGTTCTGGGGCCTTTACATTTTAACATCTCCATTAATGATCTCCATAATTTGAATTTCAATAACTTACCACCATTGGTTTTTACGTTTTTTTCTGCTGTTCTGTGACACATGCCCATAGCTTATATTTGACATTTTCATGTTCTTGGTTTTTCTTTTTGTAATTGCAACGCTGGTTGATCGTAAAGTGCCTGGGAGCATTGATTTTAAATGGATTAGGTGCTATATGAATCGACATTATTATTATTTATTACTATTACGCTGATGAGACATGTACAAGGACCTCTGTGTTTAAAACAGTGACACTGTTCATGAAATGAAGTGATCTCAACGCCATCAATGATTGGTCAAAAAAGAATCCTATTGCACTCAACATCAAGAAATTTCAAGTTATGGCTCTTTGCAGAACCAGCCAGCAAATGCATCCCCCTCAATATGTCTCGGACGATACTCTTATTCAAGAAGTGAAAACCCTAAAATCATTTAGGAGTTCAAATTCAACATAATTGTTGCCGGGAAGATTATGTACACTGCATGTATGTCACTACTAAGGCCTTCCAGACTCTGGGTTTATCATGTTTGGGTGACTGCAACACAAAAACCTTACTTGCCTTTGATAAAACAATCACTTGGCATATTCTTGATAATTGCTCTCCTGTCTGGTCTGTTGTGTCAGACCAACTTGAAAAGGTTTAAAGGTATGCCAGTCGGCTCATTTTACATCAACCCAGTCTGAAGCAACTTCACCCTGAGAGGTTAAATCTCCTTCGTGTACATGTAGGTACACTTAGTGCCAGGTGAGAGTTATATTTGTGAAATTTGTTTATTAACAACTGATAATTGGTAACTGGGGAAATCTCTTTCCATTCTTTTTAGGTGAGGTCAGTGTGAATGGTAGCCATGTGCACATTCCCGATTGACCTTTCACCACCTGTATACTCATTCTGACCTGTATTTTATTCTATTACCAGTCAGTTTTTTTAGGAAATGGAGCATCTTTCCCGAAAATCTTATTACATGTTAGCCTGTGCCCCTTATCTTACTTTTATGTGTGAACTAAACATTATCTCTATCTGTAATCTGTTATCTCCCTTTTGGTTATTGGACCATTTCCCGGGATTTTGACATTTTACCTGGTTTATATGGATGGCAATTTACTTTTTGTTTCTGTAACCTGGGTTAAGTTGCCCCTGGATTTTTTGTCCATCTGTATAATATCTTCCCGTTTCTTTCCTCTTTTCTCCTTAACCCTAACCCTCCTCAATCCTTCAGCTGTTGGAGGACTGAGGAGTGTTAGGGTTAATCATCTTTCTTCTCTGTTTTTCTCTCATTCTCCTCGTTCCCATTACCCTTTCCTTCCCCACTCCGGGTTCTCCCTTACCCCCTCCCCCTATTACCTCACCTTATCTTTACCCCATAATTCTCCTGTGTTACCTTCCCCCTGTGCATTTTGTTTCTCATTACACGTTTTATCCTTGTGTAGGAATGGAGAAACACACCTCATTTGCGACAGAGCTTTGTTGCAATTTTGTTTTATTCTCCTTAGCAGCCCCAACCTGTGCGTGAGTTTTCCTGTCTTTCCTAAATTTAAATAATTCACATTTTCATAGTATTTATTTTACACGTACTGGAATGTATTATGTTCTTGTCATTCATGCCAAATTTCATATTATTTTCATTTCATTTCATTTCATATTGTGTTATTAAAATCCATTTTCGCAGTTAAAACTGAATTACAATGGATTTAACAATCAAAATAAAAAAAGATTAAACAATTAAAATAAGAATTAAAAAAATCAGAATTAAATACTTACAAAAATATTCAACATTTACCATTACAGTTTACACTCACTAACATTAAACCACATAACATGACTGATGACCAACACTCATATAAGAACATTACTAAAACACGTCAGTTGCAATTTACTCTTCAAAGATGACATTATTGTGATCTTAAAAATTTCAGTCACATGTAACCTTTAAAATTTCACTCCCATGTTAAAAAAATGTAATAGAGGGCATTTTTTAAGAGGAGTACAATCCAAATGTTTCTACCAAGAGAACTTATTAGAGGGGCATTCCTTTCCATATTTGTTATGCAACCGGATTAAGGTAGGAACCGCGCTGGTGAAATAACGTTTTGTACGGCAACTGATTTCAGGGATGAATGGTTTATTCCACAACATTCTTGTATGTTGAGGCGGAAAGAATTCACGAAAAAGTGGATGCATTGATCTTGTCCACATGATGAAACATGATAGATTCTTGTACAGTTCAGAGTGTCCAGTATGTATCCAATAAGTACTCCCTCAACACAACACAGGTAGTTTCATCATGTTCATGGGCAGACAATGGAAAATCATTACTACTATAAAAGTGTCACAAGGCAAAGCTGCTTTCCCAATGGACTTACATACACATACACATGTACCTTAACACAGTAGCTATGCGTTAGCAGCCGAAAAATATGGGATTTTCAGTCATGTCACTTTGGACAGACAGCGGCCATACATGTAGAAGTGTAGGGAAATGCACGCACCTTCCAAGTCTCTCAATATTCTTACGTACGTGAAATTACCAACAGAAATACCAGGATTCGAAAATGCGTGCACCTCCACGGACATGGTACACTTCCTGAAATGCCGTTTCCCACCACGTTATGTCAGGTGAAAAACACCTATACTGACACTTGCAAAGCACCCGTAATGTGTGACATTTCTGCCAATCTCACATGGCAAATAAACTTTCCACCGCAGTCATAAAAGTCCAAGCAGGAATGCAAGGGAGACTGACACAAAGGAATGTTGCAGGAAGTTTTTGCATAACCACCAAAGAAAAAGTGCTATGGAAACATGGCTAAAGACACTATGGGTTTGTGCACATTTAAATGGAAACTGAATGTGCATGGCTGCATATACATGTGATAAACAGTCAAGGGCTCCTAAAATGTATACTGGTACTAAAAAGTTTTAGATACCAGTAGGTACCACCAGCATCTCTAAAAAAAAAACCTGGAAACCCTTTTCATAAAAAACAGAGCACTTTTGAATGCCATCCAGTTTTTGCATGCAAAAGTACACAAAAGTAAAGTAAAAGTACTCGTACCAGTACACGCTCTCAGCCAACACACCCGACTAATAAAGTCTTTACTTCAATTGCTTTACATGATTGCCACACTTGCAATTTCAAAAGTCAGAGTCCCTGTTCTTCCTCATAAATTGCTAACGGAGCATACAACAAATTGTTCAAATTGTGTTGAGCTGAAGCACCTGTGTTAGCAATCACTGTCATCTAGCTGGGCCCACTCAAGGGAACAATCATAATGCAAGGGTCATGGACCAGGCCACCTACATGGCATATGTCACCCTACCACCATCATATACCGAACAATACACACTGCCATTACAAGTACTGTACCTCCATTATTTCAAACATAATGCCTTGGATCTACTTGCACTGCAATATGCATCACCAGCGTGCAGAGGTCAACCACAAGGCACAGGAGACTAAGGATTTATATCTTGAATCAACATCTTGAATAATTTTTGAAGCTTCATACTTTATTTATTGCTGCTTGTTATAAGATGCAAGCTTGCATGTTATTAGCAGTGGGTTACACAATTCATGTCATTAGAGGAAGGAGAGAAACCGATAGATTTCCAGTCACTTTTCTTTTCAAAGATATGTACAATTGGAGAACACGCCAGCAGTATGGGGACTGACGTACAGGGTATATGTACACGGTACATTGAAGTCCACATGGCACAAGTATTACAGTAGTACATCCCAGCATTACACATAATTCTCAACAAAAAATGGAATGCTATTAATTAATTTTTTCCACCAAATCAAATACCCAGTAGTGGTATTCCT